ATTGACACAAGTGATTACCACACATTTTCCGGAACCGGCATTTATTTGTAATCTAATAAAATTCCAGGTCTACTAAAAGCAGCCATCAGAGATCCCGACCCAGTGGTGGTACTCGAGGATGAAATTATGTATGGTGTTGCATTTCCCATGTCTGACGAGGCTCTTTCAAACGATTTTGTTTTGCCAATTGGTAAGTTGCCTTCGCAAACTTTCAACAAGCATGCCTACTTCCTTAAGGACGGTGAATGGATTGTTAATTTATATTTATAAAGGTTTAGGTAATAAAGTAAATGTAAACAAAACGTATTGAGGTATTTTATGGGGAATTACTTATAGTAAAATTTGACAAAATTTTTGACCTACCTATTAAAATATTGCTAAATATTCATATTCATATTCATATATTTGCATTTCACATGTAAGATATACTTATGCATGTGATATACCCTGTAAGGGTGTAGCAAAGTTACAATGGAATTTAAATACATTGCAAGCTTGAACGTAGTTAATTAGCTAAGACAATTAATTATATTATTGATTTTATCATTATTAATAAACATCATTATTACATAATATTTTTATCTTCAAATTAATTAAATTATTATTTTTATAATTATTAAAAATTTATATTACTATTACATTTAATTTAATTCCATTTATTGCTATTCACATTTTAATAAACTTACGATACATACATGTGATACCCTGTTAGGGCGTAGCACATTTTAAACTTAAACCTAATGATACAATTATTTCAACATATAATATATATTATTCGTACACTTATTTTATTATTGTAATATATATTATTCGTACACATATTTCTAATAATAATGTTTACTGTATTTTCAATTATTACCTACACTTCATATAGACATGAAATCAATTACAAATACATTTATCACCAAAAAATTCAGACATATTATATGTAATAGGTTTTTTTTGTTTAGAATTTTTTTTTTAATTTTTCAAAGACCGTATCTTTATCCAAATTTTGAAGATGAAGATGTGGTTATATACTTTTATTACATATATTAGGGTGTGGTACGCAAGAAAATAATTTTAGGCTAGAGGGAGGAAGCTTAAGCTTGTTATGGTAACGATTATTACGTCTTATTTTATATATCGGAGAGTATAAATCTGCGCGTTTTGTAACGAACTTACAGGCTTTATAAATGTATATAGGCATGTAAGAGTCAGTATGTTAATTTTTGTAAAATACGGTTTACAGGAGTCTTTGTTTTATGTTGGTTAATATTAACTGCCTCCGTGGCCGAACGGTTACCATGCCGGACTGCCACGCAGAGGTCCCAGGTTCGATTCCCGGGCCGGGAGACATACTTGTATGGCCTACATTTATTTCTCTCGTGAGTTTGGGTGTAATTTGTGGTTGTCTATGTGTGTGTCCATGGCACCCGCGACACAGGGTTTCCCTAGTGCGGGGCTATGTTGATTGTGAGCGTTATTATTATTATTATTATTATAGATGTTTTTTCCTCTCAGCCTGTTGACTATTATTATTATTATTATTCTGGTTTTTTTTTTTGTAGAACAAAAATTTCTTGACAATACGAGCTGTTTCCCCACAGTATAATCCCATAGGCTAGTCGCGAGTGGGCAAACGCATAATAAGCGGAGAGGGCCGTTTTTAGGTCAGTAACACGTTTCAGTTGTCTAAGAGCATATACATGTGAAGATAAACGGCTAGATAATTTTTGAATATAAGGTTTCCAATTTATGTCTGTATCTATTTCAATACCTAACATAGTTGCCGAATCTACCATTTCTAATTTGTTTGATTTATATATATAGTTGATATCCAAAGCAATTTTTTAACGGGGTTTAAATTGAATCAATTTAGTTTTTTCTAAGTTTAGTTGTAGGTTATTTTGATCGAGCCATTCTGTGAGTGAATCCATTATCGCATCTAAGTCCTTCTGTAGTGAATTAGTACACGTGCAAGGCAAAACAACAGAGACGTCATCCGCAAATAATATACTATCGAAAGGAATTAAGTAAGGAAGGTCATTTACGTACACAAGAAACAGAATGCAGCCCAGCACGCTTCCCTGAGGAATAGAACCAGTGATAGAGATGACATTTGATCTGACATGCTCAATTTCGCCTGTACGAAAATTAGTGTTTTCAATTTGAACGCACTGGGATTTGAGGATATGATTTAACAGCTAGGCCTCTTTCACCCAAATAAAAGAGCTTGTCTAGTAATATTTTATAATTTACTCTATCCTATGCCTTACTCATATCGAGTAGCAAACCCACCGCGTATTTTTGTTGTTAATTATGTTTAATATTGTCTGAACGTACTTATATAAGGCTAGGACCGTGGTTCTATTTTTACGGAAACCATATTGGCTGTCATGGAGAACTTTAAACTTTTCAAAAAATGCAATGAGTCTTTTTGACATCGCAGTCTCCATTACTTTGGCCGATGTCGGTAATAAAGCAATGGGACGGTAGTTGCTTAAATCAGTTTTATCGGCCTTCGTATGAACTGGCTTAACTAGCGACATTTTCAGAGATTTTCATACTTAAATCTAAACGACATACATTAAATATTTAAATGACTTGAAGTTTAATGACATTGGAAACAGTCTTATTTGAAAATAACTGAAATTTGATTACAGTGCGGAGTACCACTTACAGAATTGGTTTATTTTTCTTGTTTCGTGTTTATTTATATATTAACATTTTTTATTTTTTAATGCATGCTTTTTTGTGAGGCAGGATTGAACACTTCACATCGCTTTATTCTTTTTGCTTTCGTGTTTTTTTGTTTTTATGTGGTGTTACTCTTACCATAATTTTGATAATTGAAAATGAGGACGTGAACAATTGTAATTGGCGTTGCTGGCTTTACCTAAAAATATTCACTGTAAATCGTTATTTATAGCTGTTGTTGTTCCGAATAAAATAAAAATAACAACTGTCCTAGACATTTTTGAAATGAGATTTTGATTGGCCTTTGTCGGTAATGATTCCAGGCAAGGCAAAAGTGGAACGTGAAGGCAAACATATCACGCTCGTGTGCGCGGGCAGAGCCACGGACACGGCGCTGCAGGCCGCCAACGACCTGGCGGGGGAAGGTATGTCTTGGTATATATTTTAGCAGCGGCAGGACCCCCTCTGAAAGAGTTAGTCCAAAGAAGTCCTGGCCTCGTACCTATTTCTGCCGCCAAGCAGTAACGTGAGCATTGGGTGACGGTTGCATTAGCAGATCTTTGCGATTCAAAACTCTTGAGTGGCACTGCAACTGTTATAGGTAGACGTGTCGCTTATCACTAGGCGCATTTTTTGCTTGTCCCGTCTCTTGATAACATAAAAAAATATTTTTATTAATTTAATTCTGCAATTTCTCGTATACTAACCTAACCCATGCCCACAGGAAGGGTTCAAACTAGCCCGGAAACACAAACTGAAAATACTTGATTTGATTTTTTTTTTTTTTCATTTAATATTTCGCCAAATCTACGGCCAAATCTAATCTTATTCTATACAATGCCTAAGAAATGTGTATAATAGTTTAAAAAATATTAACTGTAATATATTATGCGAGGGTAGTCGTCGTACCCTCAGTGTGTTTGGATGGAATAAACCAGTGTTCAACCGACTTGCGTGTACTTCACTTCATGGTGACAGCGGTGGGGTTTCTTTTAGCGGATATAAGTGTTCGAGCCCATAATTATTTACGTTATATAAGTGGATTAGTGAGTGAAGTGTCGAAAGCGTCCATAAGTTATGGAACACGCGCGTCCTCCGGCGGAAATTGTTTCAGGTTTTTCTAAAGGCCTCCGGAGTGAGCAAAGAGCCTAAAGAGGTACAGGCTAGTTTGTTGGTGAACCTATTCGGATCGGCGGGGTACGAAGTATTTACGACTTTTACTTTTGATGCGGGCGAAAGTGAAAATGACGTCACGTGTGCATTGAAGAAATTCGACACATATTTGAGTGCAAAACCTAATATCACAGTTCGCTGTTATAAATTCTTCACGCGCGGGCAAGAAGATGCAGAAAACATCGTTCAGTGTGTGACGGCGTTGCGATTATTGAGTCAGCAGTGTGAGTTTGGGGAGTTGAACGAGAGTTTGCTGCGTGATAAAATCGTCTGCGGCATCAATAACGACACAGTGAGAAATAGATTAGTTCGCACGGATGGTCTAACGCTACCCAAGGCGATAGAAATGTGTCAGGCGGCAGAGAAGTCACAGGAGGAAGGCCAGTGCATCAGCAGCGCACAGCTGGCAATAGTTCCGGCGCAAACGCGGTATGCTGCGTGCGACTGGAACGGTCATTATTCGCGTGTGTTTGAGCGAAAGAAAGAAATTAGTAAAGTGCTCAATCTAAACGTCGATAGTGCGGCCATTAAATGCGACGACGACTCCCAGGAACTTTTTTACGTCGACGGCATTAATAAGGACAATTGAAACAGTAAGCCACTTGATGAATGGCATGAGACAATTTCTTGTAATGGTAGAAATGCTTAATGTTATTTCTAAAAAATATTATTTATGCTTGGACTTTTCCATTATGAACCTTAAGCCGTATACAAAGCGAATACTTTCTTTCACAGGAAACCGGTTGCCGGTACTAGGCATTGATAAGATTTCATTCACGTATAAATGTTAAACAATATGAGTTACCTTTTGTTGTCGCGAACTTTAAATGTCAGAATGTAATTGGTTTCAAAGGCCGTCTCGCATTAGGATTAGTCACTTATGTCGATACTATAAATGTGGTCAGTATGATGATTTGTTTAAAGGTTTGGGAAATTTTTTGGTAAATATAGTATATTTCTGTAGATAAGAGTGCAGCCAGTCGTGTGCCCGACTAAGAAAATTTGTTTCGGTTTTAAAGATAAGATATTACAAGAGTTGCGCAGGATGGAAGCGCTAGGTGCAGTGAGGAAAATCACGCGTACGACTGACTGGGTAAACGCTGTCGTATTAGTACAGGAGAAGGATGGCAGCACCCGCGCTGCCGACGGCGCTGGAGCTGGCGGTGCGATTGCGGCGCGCGGCGCCTGCGTGTTGATGATGCGAGCGCGGGCCTCTATACCTTCAGTACACCGTTCGGACGGTACCAGAGTAAATTGTGCGCCAAAGATTTTTCACGCCCGACTCAGACAGCATCTCGAAAACTTGGAGAGCGTCGAATCTTTTATCGATGACGTTATTGCGTGGGGACGTAATAGGAACGAGCACGATAAGAGGTCAGGTAGTTTACTGGAGCGGGCGCGAGAAATAGGCATTAAATTTAATCGCGAGAAGTGTAAATTTGCCGTGGCAGTAATCGCATATTTAAGACGACGACTCGAAGGTGAAGGCCATCATGGAGATGCCATACCCGAGCGACCGAAAATCGCTCTTGAGGTTTTTGGGTACGGTCAAGTATCTGTCGAAATTCATTCAAAATGACTCGGAGCGTGCGAGGGGTCTGCGGTCGCCGCTCAAGGAGTGAGTGGCCGCGGGAGCCGCGGCGCCGCGGCGGAGGACGACCGGCGGCGACGCGCCCACGACGCGCAGGCCGGGTGGGCCCAGGTCGAGGAGATGCCGTTGGGTTCGCCGGCGAGCGGTTCAGACAGCGCGTCCTGGGCCGGAGTGACGTAGCCGTTCAATCGGACCGTAAACCTCTGGAAGCTCTATTCAACAAATCGTTAATGGTGAGAGTCCAAGGATTCGACATTAAAGTAGTATATACCTCCGGTAAGTATATGCATATTGCAGATACGCTGTCGCGGGCCCCCATGAAGGACTCGAAGCGCGACCGGGTAACGGACGAAGTGGAAGCGCAAACGTGTTTTATGTTAGAGAACTTACCGTTTAGCAATCGAAAAATGGAGGCAGTAAGAAAGGAGACAGACCGACGCGGACTGCAAGTCGCTAATCGAGTACATTACAAAAGGCTGGCCTAAAAATAGACGCGACGTCAAGAGTTACATTACATCGCCGGTATTTTATTCAAAGGTGAATGTGTATTTATCCCTCGCGCCTGCGGCCAGCGCGGCGGCGCGGGTTCGCGAGGGCCACCTGGCGTCGAGCGGTGCAAACGCGCGCGTGACGTCATGTCCTGGCCGGGCTGGGCGGCCGTGGAACGCGCGTCGCCAGCCGCTGCTGCAGCACGAAGTGTCGCCGCTGCCCTGGCACAAACTCGCCTCCGACATGTTCGAGTATAGAAAGATAAAATACATCATTTTGGTTGACTATTTTTCTAATTACGTGGAGGTGGGGGAGCTGTCCGGTATGACTGCCAGGCGAGTAGTCGATTTCATGCGGGAACAATTCGCGACACAGGAATACCGGCAGAACTGGTGACCGACAACGGCCCCGCTTACACCTCTCAGGAATTTAAGACATTTCTGTTTGAATGGGAAGTGACTCACATGACGTCATCCCCGCATTTCCCGCAATCGAACGGAAAGAGCGAGAGGACAGTCCAAACAGTAAAAAAATTATTTCAAAAATGTGTGCCCCGCCCAAATATTAACGGGTCGACGATTACTTACAAAACTCCCGATCAATAATAATAACGCACACACTCAACATAGCCCCGCACTAGGGAAACCCTGTGTCGCGGGTGCCATGGACACACATATAGACAACTACAAATTACACCCAAACTCACGAGAGAAATAAATACAAACATTTCTTCCGGCCCGGGAATCGAACCTGGGACCTCTGCGTGGCAGTCCGGCATGGTAACCGTTCGGCCACGGAGGCAGTTAGAAATCCGAAACGCGACTATCGAGGATTGATGGTAGATAGGGAACAAATTAAACGTCATTATGACGGGTCGGCGAAATCGCTCACGTGATTATTTCCGAGCGATTGACCGGGAGCGGTGTCTGTGGAGCGGCAGGTGTCCGGCTCGCAGCCACAGCAGGCTCATCGCCGCGGGACGGGTGTGCGGTGCTCCCAGCAGAGGCCACAGAAGTCGACGAAGTAGTACCACCAGTAGTTCCGATTGCCATGTCTAGGGAACGAACTGCATATGCTAACTAACTTGTTATTTGGAGCAAGCAAAGAGTAGTTGCTTAAAAGCTGAAATTTATTGTTAAAATTGATCAGATTCTATTATTTACTTTTTTGTATAATTTAATACCTTCCAGCAATAGGTATAAGTGTAAAATGGTGCAAAGAGTTCTTTATATTAGGTACAATTTGTTACATTATTATGGCAAAATATGTATAATCGTGTCACTCATGTAACTATAGCATAAAATCATGTCAATCAAGTTTTTAAATTGGTACTTAAGTTCACTAAAATTTCAATATTTAAAGTGTATGTATTTCTTCTGTTATATAAAAAGTTTCTCATGTTAAAAGGATAACTTGTATGTAGCCTAACAATTATAAACTTTTCCAAACGGAAAACATGTAATATATTATGCGAGGGTAGTCGTCCTACCCTCAGTGTGTTCGGATGGAATAAACCATTGTTCAACCGACTTGCGCGTGTTTCACTTCATTAACAATGCCTAACTGCATAAAGAAGACTGGCATTACATAGAATGACTAGGTATTTTATACCTTACCTGATTTATACACACATCACAAAGGAGTTGAGTCTGTAGTTTTAATATACATACATAAGTAGAAATATTTGTGAATGGTGGTCGTGTTTTTGTGAGAGTTATTGCGAAATGTGAATTGGCAGGTATCGAGTGCGAGGTGATCAACCTGCGGTCGCTGCGGCCGCTGGACTTCGACGCCATCGCGCGCTCCGTGGCCAAGACGCACCACTTGGTGACGGTGGAGCAGGGCTGGCCGCAGTCGGGTGAGTTCCTCCACTTGGCACCATGGTCAGCTTCAGCCAAAACCGTATATTTTCCACCCTCATAGGCGATTTTATTGATTTCATTTTTCAATATTACGCGTTTGAAGTCCTATTACAAAATTATTTGGCTTTTGTAAAGCTTTTCTTTGTTACTTTGGGGGGCAGAAATTATTGTAATATTATTCGTGGTGGTGTTTTACACCATCATGAAGTTTTGTATTGTTTAATTTCAATAATTTTTCTGTTTTCTATTTATCGTAATAGATTTTTTGTTACAAGGAACAAAGTACGCATACATACTCACATTCACTCATAGTCCCGTGCCGTGGACACACATATGTGTCCATACGGGCAACCAGAAATAGTACAAACTCACGCGAGAAATGAATATTGGCCATATAAGTGTTTCTCCCGACCTGAGAATGGAACTCGGAATCTCCGTTTAACAGACTGGAATGGTAACCGTTCGGCATAAATTTTTGTTGACATATAATTTGTATACTGTTTATGAAAAATATGTGAAAATATGGACTTTAAATTTTTATACAAATTTTGTTTTGGATTTATTGTTCCGAAAAGTCAGGAGTTAAAGATATTCCAATTTGAAGTTTTGAAGATGATGTGTTGTGTAATGTGAATAAAATATATTAGGTGTATTATTATATGAAAATAAACTACAGAAGCCTTAAACAGAGTTAGTAGAAGTTGAATGGTGCTGTGGGTTTGTGACGTGATAAGGATTTAAAGGAAATTATTTTGTATATTGGTACGGTCAAAAGGCATGAAGTAGTCATGACAAAAAAAAATTCAGTTTATAAGAGTAAGAGTAATTAATAACTTGCCATAGATTATTGTTATTGTAACTACCTCTGTGGCCGAACGGTTACCATGCCGGACTGCTACGCAGAGGTCCCAGGTTCGATTCCCGGGCCGGGAGAAATATTTGTATGGCCTACATTTGTTTCTCTCGTGAGTTTGGGTGTAAATTGTGTTTGTCTATATGTGTGTCCATGGTACCCGCGACACAGAGTTTCTCTAGTGCGGGGCTATGTTGAGTGTGTGTGTTATTATTATTATTATTGTACTGGTAACTCGGATATAAATTATTTTTTGCGAAACACGTCATCTACTTTTGATTTTGGGGGCTTGTTGTCAGTTTTACTATTTTCTGACGTGGCATTTAGGAGAAGGGTTCGTTCGTATTTTATTTTTTGTGACAAAGTAGTTATTTTTAGAAATCGGTCGAATCTGAACACGGGTGGTGTTTACTCGTGGGTCTGGAAATTTCTCCGTCCTGCCCGGGCGTTAGAGGTTTCGAACGGACTGAAGTGTTAGCGAATCGGTGTCGCAGGCATCGGCGCGGAGATCTGCGCGCGCGTCATGGAGTCGGCCGCCTTCTTCGAGCTGGACGCGCCCGCGTGGCGCGTGACGGGCGCCGACGTGCCGATGCCCTACGCGCGGGGGCTGGAGGCGCGCGCGCTGCCCGCCAGAGCCGACGTGGCGGCCGCCGCGCGCGCCGTGCTGGGCAACAGGTGCGCGCTCGCATCCGCGACACGTCCACAATGTGTTCTCCTTAGAATAATAACGCATAGAAACCTAGTCCGCAGTCCGCACACGCTAAGTGAGGCAAATTGAAGCGCGCCCAATGGGCCTGCACGAGCGGGCGGGCCTTCGGTGCTCAAGGTCAACTTGCACCGCGTACAAATCAAGAATTTTAGCTAAAAATGACGAAATGTGCGGTAAATGGGTGTAAGAATACGTCAGACAAACATACAATAGATACCAACATCACATTCCACAAGGAAGTAACGCGTTTCAACTTGTATTTTTATATAAATATTCACTAAAACCGAAAATTAACCTACTACTAAAACTAGCCTACATGAATTTGATTTTTGCCTCACTTGTAACAATTCGTTTAATATGAAACTATCGTTCTATGCGTTATTATTCTAAGGTATTCTCCATAAAAATAACCTATTTTGTTAGAACGGGTTTCTTATCTATGAAAATGTTACTACTGCCAATTTCATTGGACCTCAAATCTAATATCAGTCGAGATGAAATTTTATTCGAAATAAAATGTGGCCAAGCGTGTGTCTATTATATATTAAAAAAAATGTCAATAACAAACAATTTTGACAATTTCACACGTTACTTGATATCGAACGATACGATAATTGGGACCGACTCTAATTTGTCTATAAACTAAAAATAGATTTTAATTTGCCGCCACTCCGCCAGTCCAAACTTTCAGTTCCTAAACACACCACAGAGAACTTATAATATGTATATAAATAAAGCAGTGTATGTAACTGTACATAATTAAGCACATGTCTTCAGTTTTTCTACTACGATTTGGCTTGCCTTACGAATTTTATTTGTACTTGTCCCTAGAACAACGACTTCCACTACGATAATTGAACTTTAAGAATAATATATATTAAATATGGATTTAATACATAGGATATACAGGCTGTATATTTGAAAGTGAGACATATTCATACATGTCATAGTAAATCATATTACAACTTAACATAGACTGAAATAAAATTAGGATATAGGACAGAACAAAAAATAAATCAACAAATGTGTTTTGAAGTGTAGATAGGAATAAACCGATTCCCTTTATGCTTAATTTCGAGTGCAATGGGACTGCTACCAAGCGAGCGCCGAGTGAGACAGCAACAATAACAATGATTTCACATTTACGTTTTAGGTTATGTTAATTGTTTTTTACTTGATTTATCATCGAAATGTTTTAGTAAGTAGTTATCATTTAATAAGAATTGAGGTTTTTGGCGTAGTTAAAAATGTGAAATCAAATTAATTACAACGATTGATTTTTTAATTATTTACAGTTTATTTACACTTACGTGGTACGGAGCAAGTGTTCAAAATGTCCACCGTTTTCCACAATGCATAGTCTAGCACGGCATAGTAAATTTTGTTTTAAATTGTACAACACAAACACATTTTGTCTCACAGTATAAAATGCTGAGATTACCCTCTCACGCAACGCAACATTGTCGAAACACTGTTCACCTCCTCCGCGTAAACTCCGATTTGGGAACATTTCAATAGCTTGCCTCACACTATCACCACTTATTGCGTAAAGTCGCACCATCTCAGTCAATTCCACGTTAGAATAAATACCCATTTTGCGGCGATCAGGCGAGCGGAAGGACAAATAATTTACGTGTCTTCATTAGATCAAGGTCGCGCGTGGACTGAGCAATTTCGCGTATGCGCCCGCGTTCTCACCCCCGACCTGTGCTTTGCTTTTCGCCGCTGCGTCGGAGCAATAATAGTGATGTGCATAGATTTCGATAACTAATGTTGTGCTCAAGTAGTAGTCGATAAAAAAAAAAAATATTTTTTGTAAAGTTTAAGTTCATTAGTTTATTATTTCTTTGGGTTGAGAATCAGGAATATAACGCACTCTATTAGTATGTCCCACTTTCAAACATACAGCCTGTATAACTGTTACATTTTTTTGCTGTTGTGTAATATAACGGGATTCATGCCTTAATACATTTTCAATATTACGTACTTCACAATACATAATTATGCAAACTTTCCGTCATTACAATAACGATAACTAATATTTTACAATTGTTCAAAAATTATAATTTTCATAGTCAAGAAACTTTTTTATACACTCGACCCTCTACAACTTATCGTCAAGACAGTGAGTGTACGAATTTCCACTCAACAACACACAACAGCCCGTATAGATTATTAATTTTAATCCTACGTATGGAATATTATCACTCAGTATCGAACCACATTTAGTAGCAGTCTACTGCTATTAAATGGCCCCTTATGAAAAAATTCATCCAGAGAAGTACCACCTTACCTATTTCTGCCGCCAAGCAGTAATGTCAGCATTACTGTGATCCGGTTTTGAAGGGTAAGAGTTCTGGTCTAATTACAGACAAAACTACAAATTAAACAAATCAATTCATTCAATTAATTAACTGATTTTTTGTTGACACTACAATTGGCCACCACTAAACAATCTATGGTCGGTGACGTGAGGCCTTGCCATGAAGTTTAGTATATGTTCTTTTTTTTATAAAAAGGCAGGATAGTGATATACCTTCCAGTGTGGAGGGAGAGTCCCCACATAACCCCTGAGTCTCCCTGGGCTCAGGGGTATCCATAAAGATTTTCCCCCCGTCAAAAAAAAAAAAAAAAGGATAGTACATTTCATATCCTAAACTGAATCGTAATAAAAGTTCATAGTAGACCCCTGTTTTGTTTACTTTTTCCGTACAATGGATTGAAACGAAGTATAGGTTGCACCACGTTTGCGCTGATAGCCTCAACACATTCTACACTTTCCCGTCCTGCGAAGTAATTAATGCTCAATTTCACAATTCTCGTTCCAGAATCCAGCAAGCCGCGAGTCAATAGCCAAAGCCAGCGAATCTCTAGCGAAATGAAAGGGTTTACACTGTAAATAAATCATTATTTATTATTTATACGGAATATAACATGCACGGAATCGTCCAGACGCTACACTTTTACTGTCCGAAAACACGCACGTTTGTAACGCGTTCCAGTAAGTTGTCAATTAAAAGAACTAGATAAAATGCTGTCAAAAACCCGATTACGGATAAAAAAAATACAAATTATATTCTCTTAGCATTGAATATGCGATCTGGCAACGTCACTATTTCCTATCACTTGTGAAGATTTAAATTATTTCTTTGATTATTTATACGTTACGAGCAATTTAATTAACCGGGCATTATTAATACGGGGCGATCATTATAAATAATAACCAAGAGCATCGGCCAAATTAATAAATTTATTTCTTAGGCTGGTCCGTATTAATCATGCTCAACTGCACATTTGATATATAGAAGCTTATGAAAGCGTGAATTTATCACTTCGACCAAGCGACATGAATAGTTCCCTAGTTCTACCGGGCAATAACCTAAAACAATAGAGACCATTTGTGTTGTTTACTTTGACCAAGATACGGTGGATTCATACTGACCGGGAAATATGATTAACGCGAGCATTGTGAAGGCAAATTGGTCATTATCTATAATGACTGGGCGTATTAAATTGCTCGTGACATATATATATATATATAGAATAATTCATTTTAATCGGTATATTTTAACGATGATCATATAATTTTAATGGAAGGTGTGCTTTGTGTGTCACTGTAGTGTATCCCCTAGTTTGCCACCCTTATAAGTGGAATATTTTATTCAAATTGAAATGGTACCACTACTGAGGCACCCTCTTTCCAACAAAAAAATAATCAAAACAGTCCAATTGAGAACCTCCTCCTTTTTTTGAGGTCGGTTAAAAATACTAACCGCCTGCAGTACATGAAATTTACAGTAAGATTAGCATAACAACTACCCTGTCAAAATCTAACGGTGACCCCTCAAGGGTCATCCCTACAATCTATCCAGTGTAGCCATTGACCTTTGTTGTTTGTGTAGCCTTAAATCGTGACCTTAAAATAAATGTAGGTCGAAAAATAGATAGGTAAATGAGCGAAGGGACGAAAAATTGAGGTTGGTAGCAGAATAGAGGTACACGTAGTACAATGTGTGTAGGGGGTAATAATCTCACTGCCGATCAAGCAGTGAGAGGATACTGTAATAAAGCATTAGCACGATATCATGTCCCTTCAGCGGACATCCAAGTGGCTAATAAATATTAAACTTATTAATATACACAAGTATTCCTTTGTAATCTACAAATTTCTAAAAATTATGTCGCTATAGGTTTACGTAGTTCACTAAAAGTAAACAAACTTCAGCTGTCACTTGGTTAACTGGTCAAATACAATTATTTAGTAGTGAGTTTCATACGTCGTATTACAGCTATACCCTTTAATTAGGTCGTATATTAGCTGCCATCTTTTTAAAGGGCTGAGATTTAGGTTGTTTATCGTAGGATAGTTATATAATTAAGTATTATTTTAAATAGGTAATAATGTTGTCTGTTACCTGTAAATATTATTATATACTTAGAACCATTTTCAAAAAATTAATTATAATTTTACTATAAGTAACCAGGGATGCCTCATAAAATACTTCATTACGGTTTGTTTACATTTAGTATTTACCTAAACCGTTGTAGTATATTTTGCAGTTGTTGATGCGTTATTGGCATGTGATGCTCAAACTTTGGCCTTTATTTTATTTACCATAACATGTGACGTTATCATATCGCTATTATTTATTCTCCAATATATAATTCGCATTACTTTAAACAGTTAAATTGAAAGTGTAAGATTATTTTCAGACAGCAAAAGTAACTTTTTGACCGTGTCAATATGAAGCCCATACGTACTGTTCGAACAATCGAACACAAGACGGGTTCACTGCCTCGCGCGTCTGGTAAACAATGTTTGTAAAAATATTTATAGTTTATTAGTTTTATTATTATTATATTACAAATTGTAAAAAGAAATTAAATAAAAGTTAAAAAGACAAAGAGTTTATTATTAAACAAATTTTAGAAAAAAAAACAAATGTTTTCGAGTTTTTATGTTTCGGTTGAAAGATGTGCAACGAGGTGTAACCAATAGTAGCAGTAGAACTCCGTATGAAAGAGTTCGTCCAGGTAAGTACTGCCACCTTACCTATTTCTGCCGCCAAGATGTGATGTGGGACAGGCATAGTGACAATGTCCCTAAGATCCTTGCAATTTATTACAATTATAAAGTTATAACTATTGTAGTAGGTTTCCATCAGTGTCTTAGAAGTACAACCAACCTTTTTCTGGATCTAATTACAAACTATGCTATTCAATATAGAGCTTAAAAAACAATACAAATATCTTTTTATAGGTAAACAAGCTTTAAATGGTCACATTCATTAAACTCTCCTACTCGCTAGTAAGGCTAACGTAAAGTGCGGAAGTATATCAGTGGGAGAACGTCTACATTTATTAACTCGACTCAATTTTGCATTCACGAGTCTGGGTCGAGTCGTACGCGAGTCATCTGACCACGGACTCGAGTGGTAAACCTAACACGAGTTTGAACAAAACTTGAGTTCTAACACTCAACTGGAAGCGACTTCTACACTACAAAGCGAGTACGAGTAAAGTAAAATACTACTAGGTATTGCTCACGAATTAAACAAAAACCCAATATGGTTATTTATAACAGAAAGAAACAGTAATTATGCTCGGGTTAATACACCACAACACATGTATAGACTCTAGCACTAATATCGGACTTGAGGCTCGTACTACATCGAGCAGTGAGTCGTTATGAGTCAGGTCTTGTGAATTTGAATCGAGTACTAAAATGTGACCCCCGGACTCGAGTTTTTTACAACACTAACTCGAATCCTTGTGACGGCACGCACCTACGTACGACTCGTAAAGGAAAAGGAAAGCATCGTGATGAAAAATTCACAATCATTTGATAACGTTAAGATCCTGATTGATTAAACCCTAACTAAAAAAGACCCGTGCTCAGAACTGCAACGTACATGTACGTTACAATAAGAAACTACCTATGCAAAACAATAACAAATCTATTCTATAAGCCCACGTTTCATCGCCACGTCCCGCTTTTTTTCTCTAACATTTTAATAAAGTAATCACATTAGGTATCCGAAAGCCCGTCTCAATTTCAAGTGACATTTTTGCACCAAAAAAAATTAAAGACCAACAAAAAGCTGTCAATCCACAGGATAAGAGTATAATTTGTGCTCCCTACAATGTAGGGTGATCCATCACTCAGACGGATTTCGCTGTACCTAAAATACATGTGTACGGTACTGTCACTGCTTACAATAGTACACCCAGCAAGGATAATTATAAACTGGAATGATTTGATTTATTAATAAAGGCAATTTCAAAACTGTTGATACATGGTAAATGAACGTGTGTGAAGATTTATAGGAATGAAAAAAACAACAAGAATGTCAGGAGCGTAGCTTTTGGATATCTATGGAGACCACGGTCCACACTTACTCCAATAATGCGAAATAAGTAGGACGGTAAGAATTTGTGTTAATGGAATAATTTCTGCGATCATGAATATTTATCCAAACATTACTTTAGATTAATTTAGTAGCAATAGAGTCAGCCACTTGTGAAAGAGTTCGTCCAAGAAAGAACTACCTTACTATTTCTGCCGCCAAGCAGTAATGTCAGCATTACTGTGTTCCAGTTTTTGAAGGGTGATGGTGAAATTACAAGCACATGGGACACTCTCAAGGTGACGGGCGCAGTAGCGATGCCCCTCAGATCTTTGCGATTTAAAACTCTGAGTGGCACTGCAACTGTTATGGACAGGCGTGTAGCTTACCATCAGGCGATCATTGTCTCGTCACTTGATATAAAAAAACGTGCTCCCCGTTGCAACTCATCGGACGGCTGAACCCAGTCTACCTGAAACAGAGCATGCGTAGAGTCGCATACTCATTTACTAAACCGTTACCAGTATTTTCCCTTGTCGGGTTGATGGTTAGACTACTGACGGTTGTTAATCACTTCTGTGTCTCTCTTGCGGTTACTGCAAAAACCAAGTTGTTCAGCTCAAATAGCTAATAACACATCCTTTTAAAATAATATATCCATTTCATTTAAAACGACATACCATGGGTTCAAACAATACAAGACTTGAACCCTTCCATTGTAGCAAAAAGGTTCTATTCGTACAGATATTTTTCCCGTTACGAAAAAATCTACGACAAATGATTTCAAATCCTCTCAAACAATTACCCCTCTGTCAAGTCATTTTATGTACCGACAGTACTTTGTATATGCATGACGCTATTATAATAAGAGTGAGTTATGCCAGCAGCATATTATCATCCCTTACAACACAAATCGATGTAACTTCACGAGTTTGATGAAAAAAATCATTATTTCAGTTTATTGGATTCTAAATTAAACTAAATAAATAACATTTTTCCGATCAAACTTTTAAGTTACTTATGATAAAGGGGACAATAGAAAGTAATAGAGAAAATATATTGGGTAACAAGTTTTGGAAAAAAGTATAAAATAAAGTTTCCTGATTGTTAGAAAAAAATGTACATCAAAAAGTTTCTCTCTGTGTATTAATCTTTTATGGAATGGCTGGGCATAGAAAAGGGTTTAGGCCGCTCACGTTTTCCAAGGCACAGACCACATTAATACTAGGGTTGCAAACCTTCTTCGACGTGCTGATTTCATCACAATGTTTTCTTGCAGCGTTAGGGAGAGGTATTGCTAATAAACACAAGTAAATCTAACTTAGAAATTAAATTCGTAGGTAACACCGCGACGCGGAGTCGAACCGTCTGTCAGCTTTGATATTAAATCAACCGCTTTGGAAAAAACATATAGTAAAATTGAGGATATATACTGAATTGTATACGGTGTGAAAACACGGTTCCTAAAAATTTTCCGATACAAAAAAAAAACAAACTTACCTCGTAATTTTACAAGAAAACCGCTAAATTCAATAGGTAATTAACATATACATATATATAGTTTTTATTATATCAACTGAACTAAATAGAACACGTGTAGTATACGATATCTATTCTCGAATAAAGTCAGGTCTTTGCCGTTTGACACACGCGATAAAACCGACTTAGTACGGGAAAAATTTTAATTCGAGTTGGAGTAGTAGGTATATGGACTCTTAATTGAGAATTCTCGTTCATATTTGTTGTTGTCTATGCGTGTGTCCAGGGCACCCGCGACACAGGGTTTCCCTAGTGCGGGACTATGTTCAGTGTGTGTGCGTTATATATTTATACCATTTCGTGTGATAAATATAAGCTTATCTCGAAGCCGAAACTCATGTATGTCCCAGAATCCGATATATATACACATCTACACTTTTAACTAGTGACACGGTATGGAATAGAAGTGGCAGTGGCCCAATCCATCACGCTGTCACCGGCTCCCTGTCCCTGAACAATAGCTCGGCCGTTGTTGCCTTTATCGCTGGATTTTTGGGAAATTGCTATGACTTTAGTCAATGGTTTTATTTTGCCAATTTTATATCGTTGGAAACTGTTTCGTTAGATCTATAACGCGTATTTCACAACACATCTACAGTCATCATCATCAACAGCGTATCGTAGTCCACTGCTGGACATAGACCTCTCCCAATGCTCGCCATTTCGCACGGTCCTCAGCTCGTTGCATCCATCTATTGTCAGCAGCCCTTCGCAAATCCTCACGCCATCTGGCTATAGGGCGTGCTATACTACGTTTTCCGAGCCGTGGTCTCCACCATAGATATGTCTCCACTCAAGAACTCGCTCCCTCCATCGGTTATCGGATCTCCGACAGATACCTATGACTAGCTCACTTCCACTTCAGCTTGCTTATTCTACCAGATATATCGACGACCTTAGTTCTCTGTCGGATAACCTCGTACCTTGTCCTTGAAAGAAACTCCGTCCATAGCTCGCTGAGTGACTTTCAACTGGTGAACTAAACTGTATCGTGAGTGTCCACGTCTCGACTCAGACATCTACAGGTTCCCACAAACCCTACAGGACCCCAAATCTGCTAACTATAAATCAACTCAGTTGTATGTCGATTAGATTTCAATGGCAGGATTTTGCTCGTTTGCTATTCTGCTAAAAGTTAAGAGTGGTGGCTTATCAGAGGCTAGCCATGGAGATCCTATTCAACTGCCATTGCAATTTTTTGGTATTCAGCTCTTCAATAGCGAGTCTACGGCACGTGTATGGTGTAGCTTACTAATTAAATATAAGATACTTAATTGGAAGACTAATTGTTAATTACACGAAATAAAAATTAAGACATG